TTCTTTTCTTTTGACTTATTTTATTTAATTTTTGTATTTCAATTTGTATATTCTTTTTTTTAAAATTTTATAAAATTGCAAAATTTAAAATAAATTCCCAATATATTTTAAAATTAACCAATTAATTCCTAAAATTATTTTAAAAACTATTCCAGGACGAATTCGCAATTAAACAATTAAAAATGCAAAAATGGACTCTTTTTGTTATTTTCCATATATTCTATTATAAAACAAATTAATCGCTGATTAATACCAACATATGAAATTAGATCCTAAATGCAAATGCATATTTTTGTATTTTATATGAATTAATCATGCATAAATAAAATGCAACAACTATCAGAAAATGACGCCAAACTGCACAAAAATTGTAAAAATAAAGAAAAAGAATTATTTTGTTTGAATTTTGGGAATAATTTGCTTAGGGTAAAAATCATGTGCTAACAGTAATGAAGATAAAAAATATAAATTACTCCCTCCGTTTCAATTTATGTGAACCTATTTCTTTTTTAGTCCGTGCCAAAAAGAATGACCCCTTTCCTTATTTGTAAACAATTTACTTTTATGTAATGATTTATAGCCACACAAAATATATGTGCCTCATTTTACCCCACAAGTTCAAAAGTCTTCTCTCTTTTCTTAAACTCCGTGCCCAGTCAAATGAGTTCACATAAATTAAAATGGAGGGAGTATTATTTTTCATACGTCCAAACCTTGACAAGAAATAACAAGTAACTTGAAAATTAGACAGAAATGCGAGCAAGTTGACCTGAAAATCATGATTATTAAAAAAAAAGTGAATGATCGTAGTAATGAGTTTGAATGGCGTTTAGATTTAGGAATAAGTCGTGCTCATAGGCCAAATCTGAGGTGCATTGCAAGAGCTGTCGGATTTCTTCCATACAAAATAGTAGAGAGCGTTAATGATGGGTCTCAGTGAAACAACATGCGTTCCAATGCTCAAGTTTTACCTAAATTAAAAGATAGCCGAAGCAAAAAATAGTAGAGCAATAATTTTTGTTGTGCTAGTCCTTGGTATTATGTTTAACTACATTATAATTATAAAATTTGAATTTGCATAGAGAAATTCGACTTTAAAAGTAAATGCTTCCTACTAAAAATAACTTTAATCCTTATGACTCGACCCGATACATAGACAAATAATCTTTGTCGTGCTAGTATCTGGTACTATGCTTAACAACATTATAATTATAAAAATCAGTTAAGTAATAAATTTTAGAAATTTTAATTTATTATTAACATAAGTAAATGTTAAACTATATATACCTATGAGTTTTCAGAACATTAGAAAATGCACCTAAAGAAAAAGGAAGAAATTTAAAAATAGCCAGATGTACAAGTGATCATTCAAAAATAGCTACAGTTTTAAAAGTAATCGAAATTTAGCCACTTTTTATGTAAAGATAAATCTGAACGAAAACATTGTTCAAAATCCAAAAAAATACTCCAGCATAATATACAGGAATTTGGAGCACCGGTTCTCCAGTCTAATATACTGAACCCAACAAAGTATACCGGTCCAGCATAATATGCTGGAAGTTCATGCACAGGTGCACCGAACTCCAGTATAATATACCGGTTCAACATAATATACTGGAGTTTGGAGCACCGGTTCTCCAGTCTCCAGTATATTATACTGAACCCAGCAAAGTATACCGGTCCAGCATAATATGCTGGAAGTTCATGCACAGGTGCGCCGAACTACAGTATATTATGCTGGACCGGTCTCTGTTGCAGCAAAGTAGTAGCAATTTTTCAATGACTTGACAAACGCTGGCTATTTTTGAATGACCAGTCCGAAAACTGGCTAGACCGTGCTATTTTAACAAAGAAAAAAGTAGTAGTATATCTATTGTGGGTGATTTACAAGAATGAACTTGGAAGTAGGTTTAATTTTTCGACTCGCGCTTGCCCCATGAACAATATTTCAAATTTTACAAGGCTTTTGACTTTTGACCTTAAAAATTTGCCCACGAGACAATCGGAGTCAAAAATATCAAGACGGTTCATTTTCAAGATCAACAACAACAACTCAGTAAAAATCCACAAGTAGGGAATGGGGAGAGTAGAATGTACGCAGACCTTACTCCTACCCCAGAGGGATAGAGAGGTTGTTCCCGAAAGACCCTTAGCTCAAGAAGACGAAAATAGACAATAGAATCTGTGATAACAACAAAAATTAAAAAGATAATATAAGCATCGTTCATTTTCAAGATTATTGGGTGTAATTTCTTGTAAATATATAAACCACAATAATAATAATAACTCTTCAATTCCAAATAAATTGGAGTCTGGCTGTATTAATTCTTGTCGATCAATATTTCTCCATTTAAAATCCACAAGTTAGAAACAATGTACTAGAAACAGACGACTCCGAAGGGTATGGTCTTTACATTGTCATAACCAAATTCAAAAATAAGAAGGAAAGAAAATGTTACAGAAATAAAATAGAAAAGTAATTAGGGGTAAAATAGGAAATTCAAAATAAGCCCGCGTTCCATTGCAAGAAGAAAGCTCATGTTGCCACTTTCAGCTAGCTTGTTTATAAACCCCATCAATCTCCTCTTCCCAAGGAAGAATCTCCTTTTCTCTTTCTCTTTTTTCTTACCTCTTTCCATCATTTTTATGCATTGTTTTCTTAACTCAATTTTTGAGTCTCTTTTGTTAGATGATGGCAGTGACCCTTCATTATTCTCTTGCTTGTGATATAACCTTAGTGTTAATCACATCCTTTTTACTACAAACTTCAAAATTCAATCAAAAAACCTCATTTTCCACTGCTTAAATACCACATATTTTTCATAATTCTTGCACCTAAGAAAACTTCAAGGTTCAAGAAAATAATTATAGAAGTTGGAAGAGTTAACGAAGGTTCTAATATGACTACTACTAATACTGTTTTGCATTCTGAAGTTCTTCATAATCTCTGGATGTCCAATTCTTCCCCCTCTTTTCATGGTAATTCTCTTTTGCACCCTGCTAAATATTTGTTCTTGTTTGCTCTTCTTTTCTATTTTTCTTGTAAGCTTATAGTTCTTTGACTTTTATTTCTACTTCTAGTGTATGGTTGCTGAAAATTTGGTAGTTTGTAACTAACATCCTTTCACTGCTCAATTCAATATAAAGAGTTTTGACAATTGTTTTGTACTACAATATTTGGTCCAAGTTTAAGTCTTTTTAGTTTCAGAAATAGTCAAGCAAAGGAAATGAACACTCTATTCAAGAATCGGTTGTTGGTTGAGTGAGATGTTTCTCACGTGGGAGACCTAGTATCGATTCCCCTCACCAGCAGGCCCTTCGGTCAGACCTTGTCGCACCGAGCTTGTGTAGTTCAGTTTACCTCTCCGGTGTGGTTTGACAGCTATTGCATAGTTAGCAGGCACCCAAAGGGTAGCGGCTATAGTTTCCCTAAGAATTTTTCAAGATTTTGATACATTAGTGACCTTGCTCTTTGTTAATTTTGCTCTGTTACAGGGCCTACATCAATGGTTAACTTCGAAGATGGTGGAGGAGAAATTAGTAAAGAGAGGTCATTTTTCTCACCAATTGACAAAGAAGAAACTAGCAATGATGACTATGATAGTTGCTTTCACCGGCCAGAGAAGAAAAGAAGACTTTTGCCAAATCAAGTGCAGTTTCTTGAGAAGAGTTTTGAGGTAGATAACAAGCTGGAACCAGAGAGGAAAGTTCAATTGGCTCAAGAACTTGGCCTACAACCTAGGCAAATTGCTATTTGGTTCCAAAACAGACGTGCTAGATACAAGACTAAACTACTTGAGAAAGACTATGATGTTCTCAAAGCTAGCTTTGATAAACTGAAGGATGATTATGACACCCTTTTCAAAGAGAATGAGAATTTGAGAAATGAGGTATCTTGAATACTCCCTATAAAACCAGCATTCTTCATTGGCATTAGATTTTCCAAAGGGGTTTGTTAAGTACCCCATATTAGTCAGGAAGAAATGAGTTGTTGTCTCGTTATATAATCTTAGACAATCTTATTTCAAGAGCTAGTTTTTAGGGTTAAATTAGTCCAAAGATTCATTTTCTTAACATGGTCTATCGGAAACAGCCTCTCTTCCTTCGTAAAGTAGGGGTAAGGTCTGTGGACACATTACTCTCCTCATATTCCACGTGTGGGATTGCACTGGGTTTGTTGTTGTATCCATTTTTTTAACATGTTATCAGAGTCTAACTCATCTGTGTTCTTGGTTTATCCAACGTTGGAATCCCATATTATGTCTGAGAGGATGTTAAGTGTCCTACATTAGTTGAGGGAATAGGATGTTATCCCTTTATATCGTCTTCAATAATCCTCATCTCATGAACTATTTTTTTTTTTTTTTACGATCGAGCTAGGCCTAATGTCTATTTTCTTAAATATGTTTCTAATATATTCTTTGATTTTGTTGATGAATAGGTTGATTTGCTGAAAGAAAAATTGCTTGAGAGGGAGAAAGGGAAGGAAAATTCAGAACAAAGTGAACCTATTAATCCAGTCGATGCAGAAGCTCAAAAGGCAACTCCAATTGTTGTTACCTCAGAAGTGCCAAGTATACAAAAGGTAGAATGCAAACAAGAAGATGCAAGTTCAGCTAAAAGTGATGTTATTGATTCAGATAGCCCACATTATACTGATGGGAATCATTCTTCAAATGCATTTGAACCAGAGCCATCTGATTTTTCTCAAGATGAAGATGACAATTTAAGCAAGAGCTTTTTATGCTTCCCTGAAATTGGAGATCAAATTCAAGCTAATTCATGCAATTTGGGATTCCAAATTGAGGATCAGCCTTGTTGGTTCTGGCAATATTAATTTTTCAACTTCAAGATTTGGCTCAATCCTTTAAGGGCTCATTTGGTACGAGGGATAATTAATCCCGAGATTAAATTTGAGATTGATTTATTCCGTATTTGGTTGGGATAAAATCGTGGTATAATTAATTTCGGGATTGTAGTGTTTTTTATCCTTATGGAAAGATGAACAACTAATCCCGAGATAATTAATCATGAGATAACTTGTTTCTAACCAAACGATCACTTAATGTTCCAAGGCAGTTGCTAAATTTCCTTTGTAGTTTTACACTATATTAATCAATAATATGTTTGTATATAGGATTACTAGTAGTTAACTAATTGAGGTGTCTTTATTACTAGCTTGTTTCAAAAAATGTTGTGATTGGCCTTTTTCTCTTTAGCTCAAAAACAAATGGTACTATTGCCTTTTTTCTTCTTCTTTTCAGTTGCTACTGTTAATTTATACTAATTGTTAGGATCCTTTGGCCTTATTTGGACAAGTTAAATCAATGATGAGTCACTTTCTGGGATATGTACAAAACAGAATAAGAGCATGTGCATTTTCTTCTAGTGGTCGGAAAGAAAGAGAGGGGTTTTGAATATAAAAACTGTGGGACTCTTCTGCAATGCATATTGTTCTATGGGAAAACCACTGGATTTAGAGGCACAAGATGGAAATTTAAGAAGAAAATTCCACATTTTAATAATATCATTAAAAGTTAGTAGTGTTAAATATGTTATAATATTTTGACGCATGTTAATCAGAGGCGGACCTATGTGTTACAGTGAGGTATCATCGGACCTCGTAAGCTTCGGCAAAAATTTTGTATATGTATATATATGTAAGCACTTGGCACCCTAAATGCTAAAAGTCTTTAGTGGGCATTGGTTGAACAGAATACTATGCCCGTCGCGTAAAAATTCACGTAAAAAACTTTAAATATAAAAAGATATTATTCTTCTGAATTAGATAAAAATGTCATATAAAATAAAAAAGAGGAAGTTGTTTTTTTCCTCTCCAGAAATCTAATTTTCAAACAATTGTCTAAACGGATATGTATGTGATTAATTTACAACTTTTAAAAAGGAAAATGCCAAAAAAGAAAAAGAAAAAGAAACTGCATGTAAGAGAAAAAGTGAGGATTGAGGTTGAAATCTTTGGCAATGGGGAGGAAAAAGGAAGGGCAATACCCTCTTAAAGTCAAATTTTGTGGATGATTGGATTCAAAAGTGTATTTCAATAGGCAATGACCTTTTAGCTAGATGTTGACAATTTTTCTTCTTTAATTAACTTTATAAAATGGACGTTGAGACATACCCCATCACTTTAAATATTTTTTAATTGAGGGAATCAACTATTCTTTTTAACATGAATATCTTGCTGATGCATTTCTTGTTACGTATTAACATGTGTAATTGTACTATGACTTTGGGTCCATTTTTTAATGGCTAAAATTGATATGGAATCTATTTTAATCCTTTCTTTAAGGATAGCTAGCACGTAGCCTTGAAGGAACAAATCAAATGAAATATTTATACTCTAAGTCTGTTAACTTCTTTCATAATTTTATATTAACTACAGTGTTGGAACCTTACCAAACACGAGCTTGTAGTGTCAAGTTTTTGAGGGAATCAAGTTTTGTTTTAGATATACCAATAATTAATAGACAAATAGTATGATAATATTAGTTGTCTTTAAGATTCGACCATTACTAAGTGGTCCTCTTCTTCATTTTGTGCTTTTTTTCCATGTTGTAATATTTGGCTTGCACAATTCGACTCAAAAGGGAAAGAAATGATTGTTATTTTTGGGGAAATTAATACTTTAGAATCTCCATTACATATGGAAATGGTGAATTGAACCAAAAATAGGAAAAAATGGTGGGTGATATAAAGGAAGGGAAAGCTCATTCGTGTTTAAAGCGATCCTTTTCATGAATCCATTACTCAAATGATCACTTAACTATTTGAAAAATATCCGATGAAATTTTGCATATGTAATTATGATCGAACCAAATTGAAACATTCAGCTATCGACTGAGTAAACTTATAGACTATGACTTGAGGTTGTGTGACATCTCTCTAATATTAGTAGCTTCAAGTGGAAAATGTAGGAAGATGTAACTATTAAATGGGGTAGAGATGGGCCATACAATTGATACTTGCAACTCATAACCACTTGGACAAGGGATTGGGCACAAAGTTTGTATTTTGTATGCGAAGTCATTGTTGGTATTGAAAAATATAATAATATGTCTCTAAGTTACTAAACTCAAGAAGCAAACGACAGCTATTTCATTTGTTTACTTCAAATCAGGTAGCTTTCTTTGTTATTGATGCTGATCCAAGTTTTGTAGGTTACATAAAATGAGGGAGGTGTTAAAGAGCTATACAAGAGCCCAGGGCGGAGCTAGAGTGACGGGAGCAGGTTCGGCTACGGTTCGAACCCTGTATTTATCTTAAAAAATCTATGAATATGTATAAATTATTTATTTAGAACTCAATAACTTAAAATAATTATAATCGTGAACCCATAACTTTGAAATCTATATATGCAAGAGCCCAACAGCTTAATTTAGTATTGCTTATTCAAGAAGAGCCGCCTTAATGCTTTTGCGTAACTTAAGAACCATGAAATGTCACTTTTGGCTTCATATTAATTTATTCTAAGAACTTCTAGAACATGTGGAATCAAGATCGAAATTGAAACCAATTGCATTGTTACACTAACACCTAGGAGCGAAGGCACACTTGGGTTAGGATGGTCAACTGACCACCCTTTGTCGAAAAATTACACTATTTATATAAGCAAAATATTAGATTTTAAAGGTACATAACATGTGTTGAACACCCTTTGTCGAATTATTTTTTTACTTATTTTAAATTTGAACATCCTTGAAAAAATTACTGGCTTCGCCACTACTAACACCGGAAAAAAAAAAAGGTGTAAACCAATTCGAATGTTACATGCACTAACACCCTAAATCTTAAGAAGTGAGGGCAGATCCCACATTTATAAGAGACTGGGATATACTTATTATCGTTGTCTTGATCAATTATATTCATACACTTGAATAGATTTTAAATTCATATGTTCATATATTTTATTTTATTTATGTAGAATTAATCTCGGGTCTGCCTCTAATGATAACGCTATAAATCTAAATGAATAACATTTGATCTTGATGAACCAATGAAATAAACGAAATATCAATATTTAACAAAGCTCATATATCGACCAATAAAATGAAAGGCGAAAAATGCTTTTACTTTCCAAAATCTTCAAGTTGAATATCTCTTGAAGTTAGTATTAGTACAAATTGTGGTAGCACGTATTCTGGGTTAGACTTTAGGACATGTCAAAAGTGACTTTTGTTCAACTTAGTTACTGCAATTTTATGTACTTAGATATCAATAATGCCTATCAACAATATTAAAACCTCATTGGGCAAAATTCAAAAAAATCTGATACCTTGGTGAAGACAAATGAAATATTGACAAGTGGGGAACCAAGATTTCACACGTGTCTGGTAGTCAAACAAATGCCATAGCAAAACGAACGAAGCCCAATGGGCCCCACCATAAGATGCCAGCCGATGTAGATTGGCCGAGCAACGTGGCGTGGTATGCACAGTGGGGAAACAAGAAAGTGGGCCCGTGGAACCCAGTACGTCTCTTTCACTTATTCTTTTACACGCCATGTAGATAAGCATGAAAAATGGTGGACAAAACAATAAACATGAAAAATGAAGAGCTAATGTAAATAGTTATTCATTCAAACGCTTAAAATATAAATAGTCGGCAAACATGTAATATATACTTCCTCCATTTTAATTTATGTGATTCATTGATTGGACACAATTTTTTTTAAAAAAAATTAAACTTATGGTGTAAAAATAAGACATATATTTTGTATGATTATAAATCATTGTATAAAGGTAAATTATTTTCAAATATGAAATAGATCATTCTTTTTGGCATGAACTAAAAAGGAAATTAGTTCACGTGAATTGAAACGAAGAGAGTATAATTTATATATAGTCTTATATATTCCTAGTATAATTGTTTAAAAAAAATTGTAAAACCTACTGTACTTGGGGGCCCAATTGACGAAGAAACTGAGCTTTGGTGACAAGACAAGGCATTGTCCGAAAGTTGAAAGGGACCTATATTTCAGGAGTGGTGATGTCACACGTGTAGGGTCACTCTCATGGGACCCACTACCCACGTGCGTGCCCATGTCTAGATGGCAGAAAAGAGAACATTTTATAAAACAGTATATTGCCGTTTCATGTGCTCATGAGCTTCTCTGCCTATTTCCTAACTGATCAAATTCTTGATTCCTCCGGTCGTTTGGCACGAGGCATAAGAAGGCACAAGAAGGTATAAAGATCATTTAAAATTTTAATATTATTTTAATATTATGTTTGGTTAGCAAATCAGGTATATTATCCCGGTGTTAATTTTAACATCGGGATAACTTATACCTTATAGAGGGGTGGGTAATTAGCGTCGGTATAACTTATACCTTCTTCTTAGAAGNCCACCTTAATACTCTGTTTGGTTAGCAAATCAGGTATAAGTTATTCCGGTGTTAATTTTAACACTGGGATAACTTATACCGTATAGAGGGCGCGATAATTAGCACCGGTATAACTTATATCTTCTTCTTAGAAATTATGCAATTGTCATTCTTAATACAATATACCAAACAATGAATAAACAACAATCCCAACATAACTAATCTCAGCATAACTTATCCCAACATAACTTATACCGACATAACCTATACCGGCATAATCCGTATTCCAACCAAACGACCCCTTAATGTTATTCTTGCCTTTTATCAGTTTGGTTCTAATAAAGAACTTTTTTTCTTTTCCATCAAAGTTTCGAATATATTGCTCATTTTTGGGGCAAGATTCAGGCCACGCGACCTCCTGTAGTAGGAGGTCACAAATTCGAGCCGTAAAAATATTTCCTTGCAAAAATGCAGGGTAAAATTACGTACGATAGACCCTATGATCCGGCCCTTCGCTAGACACCGCGCATAACGGGAGCTTAGTGCACCGAACCGCTCTTTTTATTCATGCCACGGCAACTATTACATCATGTTTTTATCTCGAATCATATAGATATATACATTTGAATCCATTTCTGTAATAACATGCCAAAAGCCAAAATAACCCTAGCACATTGTTGGGAGCCAATGAACTGAGTGGAGCGGGTTCCCCTCGCTTTAAGGTGCTCTCCAACTATAATCAGCTGATATCTTTCTAGTTAAGTTTAGCCTTAAGTTTATTTACTTAACCAAAAATAAGTTTGGAAGTCTGATAGCAATCACTAGTTATTTGCTTGGATTCTTAAAAAATATCGTGTTGAATCTTTGAAA